GGCGAGCTCTTCGACAGCTACACGTACGAAAATATCCACTCCCACGCCGGCGTGCGCTACGACCTCTTCCCCGGCGGCGCCGACGCCGCGCGGAGCCGTCGCATCACCGACTTCTTTGGCAACGTGCAGAACGTCGAGGTCGACGGCGCCAAGAATATGGTGCTCGACGAGGAGCTGTTGGAGCTCAGCCAGAAGATTGCTGCGCTGAAGCAGCGGGCTCAGGAGGCTGATGCGGCGGTCAAGAATGCGTCGTTGGCGGAGAATGCCAAGGGGCGGACGCCGGATGTGAAGACGAGGGCCAAGAGGGTGCAGATGGCCAAGCCCCTCACGAATGAGAATTGGTGGGAGAAGAAGATTATTGGGGCCACGGCCTTGATCGGTTGCGCGCTTCTCTGGGCTTTGGGGTCGTACTACGAGGCACCAAAGAAGAGGGCTGATGCTGCCAAGACGACGTCGGGGCAAAATGGCCATGCTACCGTGAAAGCATGATCATCTTATTCGCTTTCTTGTACTTTGATTTCTTTGATTTACTTGCACGAGGTGCATTTAGCCTGGCGTTTCTTGGGATAGGGAAGGAAAGGGTTCGTTTATAGCTCAGGAGCTGGTTTCAGGCTCCATCAATCAGAAGCGGAAACTCATGGCTCGTTCAGCATTGATGAAAACAATCAATAAATTGCAGGATCGTGCCCGTCTGCTGCCTCCATATCAACTGAACATTCTCCGTCCAATGTCTCGCTGTTGTGAATGTAGGCGTATTTATCCGAAGTATTTCCATCCAGGTGGTCTTGAGGTCCCTCACCTGCTCTCACCGAGAACCATTCACCGAGGTTCATCCCACTCTAAAATCTTGCAGGGCAAAGTCAATGCACTTGACGACAGTCCATCAACCCCCCCCCCCGCACATCCTTTATGGAGGGACGTAGATATCCCGTAATCTGCGAAAATGGATAGCTCAAAGGTTTGTGTCGTAATTTCTTTCTGTTCATGTGCGTCTGGGTCGGTCCTTCCGCGACATATCGTGCTCCTTCTCAACCACATCCCGCGCTTACAACGGGTCCCTTCACCTCACTGTGGCCTCGTGTAAGTGATGGATGGAGTGATGCCGCTTCTCTACCTCAGTCATCTATCACACAAGACCTTGGCGCATCGAGACACTGCTCTCACTCCATGACGCTACATGTCTTTTTGCGTTCTTCAGCGATCCACGCGCACCGTAATCATACACTCATCTCAACTTCGTGACCTTTCATCTCAAACGAAAGATCGCCATTGATGATTCATGAGACATCTCAGCCTTCCACGGGTGACGAACTACGCCTGCGACGTCCCCCAAACCGCTGAAGTCAGCAATCATGGACGACATCATCGCCCTCTCAAAAACCCTCACCCTCACCCTCACCCCCCAAAACCACTCTCACCAACTAACACCCTTGGACGACGACCAGATCCCCCCCCTCAAAACCCTCACCCTCAAGTCCCGGCCCCTAGCAAGCCACGCCCTCACCTTCTCCTGCGACGCCGAACTCGCCGTCGCCGCCGACGACTCGATCCACGTCTTCCTCCCCGAGTTCCCAACCCCAGAAGAACCTACCGCAACCAAGCAGGAGCCATCCAAGGACGACAACGATGACCCCCAGGCAGCACCAGGAGCAGACGAAGACCCCGCCGGCGTAGCAGCGGCCCTCCTCGCCGCCGCAGACGCCCAAGACGGCGAAAAGCTCTACCGCCAACAATTCTACACCTTCCAGCTCCGCATCCCGACATCGCGTAAACCCGACCCGCGCATGAACGCCGCGCTCTTCGCCGCACGAGGTCTCCCCGTGCCCTCCTACGACGACGACTGGGCTGCCTCAGCCGGTGCCGAGGGCGCTGGGACCGGCGGCATCGGCGGCGAACCGGCGGTCCTGGACCCGTCTTCCGCGTTCGAGGGCGTCGGCTCTGGTACGGTCACAGGCTACGGCGCTTCGCTGAACCAAGTCGTCGCAATGGAATGGTCCCCCGGGAACCTAGGCCGGAATCTTCGAGCGGTGTTGACCGTGATGCTCACCAACGGCGCGCTCCTCGTCATCGGCGAGGGCAGCGGTAGCGGTGGCGGTAGTAGCAGCCACGAACCCGTCGACCTCGGCGCCCGGATGAGGAATTTCAGAGACTGGCGGATCCTATGGGGCGTGGGCGCAAATCTGCCGCTGCCGGATCCGGATGCCGAGCGGGACGAGGCGTATCTGCCGCGGGACAAGGTGCGGTCGTTCTCATGGGCGAGGATGATTGGGACGGGTCAGGCGCTGTTGGCGTATGCTACGGATCAGGAGGAGGTTGTGGTGTTGAGCGCGCAGTATTACCTCCCCAACGAGATGGATGATGCGTCGGATGCTGGGTCGTATGTGTGGGAGGTGGAGGAGGTTGCGCGGTTTGATGGGAGGGGACCGCATCCGAGCTTGGGCGTGAGTTCTGTTTCTTTCTTTCTCTGCCTCTCTATCTCTCCTTATTCACGATACCCCAAAAAGTCTATCCCGTCAAGAGGGTGGTGTTGGCTAACGATCTTCAGGTCTTGGACCCCGATTACATCCCCTACACCTCAGCCTTCTCCCTAAAATGGAGCCCCTGGCTACACTCAGGCGACACCCGAACCGCGATCCTATCCTACTGCGCGCGAAACTACGTCGGCTTCCGCCGCATCACGCTCCCGGCGGAGTGGAAGCGCGGTGCCGCAGTTGATATCGCCGTCGAGGAAGCGGACGTCACGGGCATCTGCACGAACCTGCTCTCCGACGCGTTCGTCGAGTGGGAGGACGCCGTCTGGGACCGGGACGACGTCAAAGTCTGCCGGGGCGTCATCGCGTCCCCGTTCAAGGCCTTGCCTTTTCAGGTTGCGCTTAACGGGCCCGAGGGCACGGCCAAGGAGCCTCATGGTACGGGGGTTTGCAAGACGACGTTTCCTGAGGATACGACGTCTTTGGACGCGACGAATCCCATCACGAGTATGCCCCCTTATACACACATTTAATAGAACATGGAAGCTTACGATATTCATTAACAAGGCCTCATAATCCACCCCCCAAACCTCTCAAAACAAACCAAAGCCCCAGGCTACTCCCTCCTCCGTCTCTCCGCAACAGCCACAAACGACAACTGGTTCCAACAAAGCACCGCCGACGGCGCCGCCTCACCTACCCCAGACTCCCTCCCCAAATGGGCCGAAACAATCTCGTCGACCGTCAAACTCTCCGTTCCCGTCACCATGCTCGGCCGCGGCGGCGGTGGCGCCGGCGCAGTAGGCGGAGACGGCGAGTCCGTTGCGTCGGGAGACGATTCAGATTCGGAAGATGATGATGACGATTTCGATTTACCCGAGGACGCGGGCGAGCAGATTCACCCGCACCGCGTGCGTATGTGGGGCATGACGATGACGCCTGCTGGCGGGATGAGCGCTGTGTTGGTGTCGCAGCATAGTACGCAGAAGCCGGAGAAGACTGTCAAGACGAAGGTCATGTTTGGGGGCCGGGTTGGCAGTGGTGGAACGGTGGCGGCAGTGACGGCGGGCACTGGCGATGAGATGGATGTCGACGAAGGGGACGACGGTGGTAGGGCGAGTAGGCTGCGGTACTGGGAGAAGCAGAGCACCGAGGCTAAGATGTGGGATTGGATGTATGCTGGCGGACCTGCTGTTCCCGGTACGCTGTGGGGTGGTACCGGGGACGAGGCGAGGGCGGGAGATGATGATTCGTTGCGGAAGAGGTTTGAGGAGGTTAAGGGGAAGCAGACGTGTGTGTTTTGTCATGCTTCTCTTGTTGATGAGGGTAAGGAGTCGATTTGCGAAAAGGGGCATATCTTTGGTGAGTCTTTCCTAGCTTTCTGGTTCTCTCCTTTTAAGAGGGATGGTTTTTTTACTAACGTTGATAATAGCTACCTGCGCGTCAACCGGCCTTGCTATCCTCGCGCCTGGCATCTCGAGAGCCTGTGCTGTGTGTGGTTTGCGATGTCTTGTGGCTAAGGAGGTGATCAAGATTGCGCAGGAGCACATGGGCCCGGATGCCAAGGTCGATACTTCTGAGGAGGCGTGCGGTGGATGTGGTGGCAAGTTTGTGGTGTAGACAGGAGAGACACAGCTTGCAATGATACCAAAGGAGCCCATCAAATAGAGGTAAACGGCGTAGAGAAACGTCAGCCTCACTTCGTGACATTGATCCAGCTGAGCAGAAGACGGGAGACGGGACGTTACCACTTGGACCCACGTGACTGTAAAGTAAGGTAAGGCAGGCGGGTACTGCCCGTCCCTTCCTTCCTCCTTCCCGTCCCCAGCTCATCCACATCCACATACGATACGTACCTTTCCTTTTGACCTTTCATTCGATAACCTTTCCACCACTTGAATACACGAGAAGCCTTCATATACCCCTCCAAGTCCATTCCTGTCACCAGCCAGCAGGCGCCCTCTAGGTCGGGGGTCAGGTCAAACTGGCTGGATGGTGGAGTGGTTAATGGTCAACAATCAAAACGCCAACCAGCCTACTCGACGACAGGCTTAGCGCATACGAGAGTACCCGAGTTCGAATCCCGGAATGAGCACCAATTAAATTTCCCAGCATGCGCACCAAGAGATGTAGCCCCCCAGTCCAGCACCGGGAAGGGGGGGATGGGAGCGGGGGGTGAACTCTTTTTAGTTGTTATGTTGAATTTTTGGGTGAAAGTGAGACTAGGTAAGGGAGCCGATATTATGACTAGATCAACCTTCGGTAGCATTGTTCACAATGGTCATCCGGGCAGAATAATTATTCAGTAATGGTATTTGTTTTTTTCATAAGTTTTGATGCTACTGTATTAGTCGATCCAAGTGTAATTCACGTCTACCAAAGCTTGACCTCACAGGGCTGTCGACGGCTCTCAAATTTCCATCCCTTCATGACGGGAACCAAAAATGACTGGGCAATCTTTCTTGATAAATGTGTCTTTGGTGGCCACTTGGCACCTCATTGAGTGACACTGATGTGCACACGACTGCATCACTTGGGAATTCTGACCCCTGTTTGGCTGTAACAGCCGAGCACGCTGTTATGGTCAACCCAGATCATAGAGGCTTGAAAGAGGAGACGTCAAAGTCAGTCAAGAATTGATAATGAGGCAGAAGAGAGCACCTACAGATGTTGACTTCCTTGAACGCGAGAAGACCGATGTTCTTCAAGAACGGATTGCCTGGCATCCAACACTGCAGCTTCATTTCCCCAACGGGTTCTTGTCCCACCGGAACGGGCGGCGGCTTTGACACAGTGCAAGCCTGACCATTGTGACCGCCCCTTTTTGTATACTCATTTGCGTCAGTCACGAATCATTCTCGTTCCGCATGTCAAAGACATCTTGACTTACTTCTCGCGCAAGGTGAGTGTGCCTTGATCGTTCGCAATGCAATTCCTGAGGTCGAGCTTGGAAAGCACAGTAATATTGGGCTGCACTGAGTCCGGGCAAACTGCGTAAATCCACGATTCGTTGAGCTGTCGTGAGTCGACGGTGGCCCTCCATTCGTTATTCAGATCGAACTGGGTGCAATTGCCCGCTACGCTATGCGCGCAGGGGAATCCCTGGTGACAAGGTGACTTCCATCCCGGAGCGGCTGCGATCATAATAACGAGACTGGCGACAACGATGACAAACTTCATGGTTGCAATGGAAGTTTGTTGATCAGGCAAGATGATTGAGATTTAAGAAGCAGAGAGAAGCTGGCAACGGCAATTAGGTAAAGTATGAAATCGAGACGGTGGGAGAGATAAGTAGATGAAGCACGCCTTAGAGAAGGGCTAATCGCAATAAATACTAGGTCCTCAGAGTCCAGACGGCATCGACATAGGTCTGTCTCTACGCGTGAACTAGGGGGGAAAGAGTCGAGAAGGAGGTTGATCGTGAACAGAAGGGAAGCGAGAGCAAGTAACAAGCGACGATGAAACAGCCCCCGAGAGCTTGGGGTCCGTCTGAGTAGCATTGGAATAGATGACCGGCCAAAGGAACGCGGACTGCGGGTAGAAACAGTTGGCGTTGGACCTCATTCCAACAAGGCTGTTGGTCGCTCTCGACCATTCATTCCGAAGTGCCAAGGTGATGAGTGAATATGCAGGTAACTTCAATAAAGCAACAGCAGCCTCTTGTTATAAATGAATATTGCGGCCCATGTTTGCTCCGGTTTTCCCCCTGCAAGCAGTGCTGAATATGCTGGGTCACTCGCGCATCTACTCTTTCTACAGGTCGGCGTTCTCCAAACCCAGAGCTGTTCAAATATAGAGAATCAGTGGTGAACAGCATTTCTCCAGCATATTTGATGAAGGTCTATAATCAGACGTCCGTCAACAAAGGGGCACGTTTCGTTCCGGTTGCTTCTTTGTCTTGAGAAGTCTTGCTTGATTTGCTTCGAAAGCTCGATTCTTTCAACCACTACGTTGCGTCTCACAGTTTCGCACGGAGCGACTCATGTTTTAACATGGTCTGACGTTTCGAGTCTGGGCTTAGCAGGTATGCGGCCCTCGAGTAACCCTGACAGGTTAGGTTCTCTCTCACGACACCGGCCTCATGTGCCTCAAACGCTGGCTCTCTGGATTGCAGCCGTGTTGGACGGAATCTCCGAATAAGGTCCAGCAAACGTGAATTGCCTTGGCATCGTAAAGTAATGTATCGCCTGGGAATGACTTGGCTTTTTGTTAATCTAGGGCCCATGAACCGACCCCCAATCTCGTGATGAAGCCATGCCTCCCCCTTACGACGCAACAATCTTCCAAGGACTACGCGAAAACCGATTCTCCGGGTCATATTTCCCCTTCAACTCCACCAACCTCTTCGCATTCTCCCCAAACCCTTCCTTGACACCAACATCGCTGCTCGCATAATTGTTATACTGTCCAACACCGCCCCTCTCGCCAGTGTGATTCTCCCCTTTGATCTTCGCCGCCAAAGCCCGGTTCCAGCCCCTGATCATCCCATCCTTGGCCGGGTCCGTCCAGCATGTCAAGACCATGCAGTCAAAGTACGTCCCGCGGTTCGAATACGCCGTCGCCCCAAACGGCACGCTGACCACGTTGTCCTTCTTGTAGATTTCCACGGCCAGGATGCTACCTCGCATGTCGTTCCCCTTGGCCGTCTCCTCGTTGACGCGCGAGTAGAATTCCTTGCTCATCTCTTCCCATTTTGCGAGCTCGAATGGCGCTGTGAGGTTCGTACCGCCCATCAGTCGCCTTGCGCCGGGGCCTTGGAGCTCGTCGAGGAGCGTGTTGGCTGTTGGATAGTCCATCTCAGTCGCCATGTTCACCAGCGGTCCTACTTCGAGGAGCCCCTTGAAGATACCTTCGGTCGCCTCTTGCCCAGTTCCGTTGTGGAAAGGCTGCACGACAATCATGGGCTTCGCATCGGGCCCCGGTGGACCGTACGCAAATCCCATGATGAGGAACTGTCTCCCATCCATCTTCTCCACAAACTCGTTCATCCAATTGAGCAATTCAGGGAGCTGAGAGTTGGCGAACATGAGAGCCCCATACCACACCTTCCCCTGCGAAAACACCTCAGAAGTAAACCTCGTAACAACACCAAAACTCGCCCCAGCGCCGCGCAGAGCCCAAAACAGATCCGCATTCTCCGTCTCCGACGCCGTGACGATCGACCCGTCGGCAAGAACAGCCTCCACTTCCACAAGACAGTCGACTGCAAGACCGTAAAGTCCACTCAGAAGCCCCTGTCCGCCGCCGAGCACGAGACCGCCGACGCCCGTGTGCGATACCGTGCCGCCGACGGTCGCGAGACCGTGTTTCCAGGTCTCGGTGTCGACGTCCTTCCAGGTGCAGCCGCCGCCGTAGGTGACGAGGCGCTTCGAGGCGTCGACTGTTACGTCGCGGAGGTTGCCTAGGTGGATTACCATGCCGCCGTCCGAGGATGAGGTTCCTGCGGTGGAGTGGCCTCCGCCGTAGGTGGTGAAGGGGATGTCGTGTTTTGTGGCGAAGCGGATCGCTGCTGAGACATCCTGGGCCGATTTTGGCTTGATGACTATACCCTGAGAAAAGTTTAGAGATTTACTGTGCGTGCTGGCTCGCTGAACGTGGTTGGGATTGAGGGGCTTACCGCTGGTTTGATGCAGACGATGGACCATCGCACGAGACTTTCTTCGTACCCCTCATCGCCGGGGAGGAGAACCTCGCCATTGATATCTGCCCTCAGGGTCGGCACTTCTTGTTGCCACGATGTCATGTTTTTCTTCTATGATGTTGAATGAAGCAGTAGGTCAAGTGCGTTCTCCCAGGATCTTGGGGAGTTGTGGTTGATTTTACGTGTGAGACCAGCTCACTATTCGGAGACCATGTCTGACAGCGCCAATCACCTCCACATTTCCTCGTTTCGACGAATTAGGCAGAGAGCGAGAACGAGAACAAGAAAAAGGGCATAGATCAGCATAATCCTGTCAAATCATTGGATGGGAATTTGCAAAAGCCATGAGCTCTCACCTGTAAGCGCTAAAACTGACTAGATGAATCCTTTGTGAGACGTACATTAGTAATCCTGTTCACAGAGAGACGTCGTTCATTTGAAGGTGCTTGGCTCTTGCATGGAGGACATGCTAGATAGACAGAAGTTCCTCCTTGGGAGCTAAACTCCAGAGTCAAATCCCGAGATTGGAGGATCTCACGGTCAGCTCACCATAGCAGTGCGTGTATCGGCCAGGAACGTCCAGGAGGGAGGGAGGTTGACGCTTCAGCGACTCTTGAGGTCTGCTTCAAGTTTGACAGTTGAGAAGGGAGTTGGCGAGAGTGCATCATACGCTAAACCGCTGACCTCGCGATTCCTTCTGCATGCTGGCGTCGATATTCTCGCAACCTCCATCGCCTACGGCGATCAGTAACAGGGTTACCGGAGCATGCTCAACCTAGTATCAACGACGACAGTGGCACTATTGTTACTTTCCACTGATTCCGTGGCCGAAGGGATCATTAATCAAGTCTGTCTGGTCTGTATTTCAACTCAAATCTCACCCAAACTCTCCCCCTTCACATTCACAATCCGAACCTTACCCCCACCTCTGCTCCCAGACGCAACAACAGCCTCCTTCACAACCCCCTCCGCATCCCACCCAAAATCAACAACCCCGCCGCCCCGGATCCGCAACCCCTTCACGCTCCCGCCGCCCCACCTCGCCGGGATAGCGGGCCCGAGCACCACCGTCCTCGCCTCCTCATCCCCGGCGGAAGCATACGGCAGCGGCAAATCCACGACAAGCATACTCAGCACCGCACCGCTCAACCCGAAATTCGCATCAATTTGGAACGGTGCTCCCGTGCCAGAGTACATGCTTAGCCCGTTGGCCGCGAAATTGATATCAATGGCGTACCGGAGCTGGTCGTAGGCCTTTTCGGTCTCGTTGAGACGCGCCCAGCAGGCGGCGCGCCAGACTTTGGCCCAGCCTGCGTTTGCGTCGGGTGCGTTGCCCATGCCGCGGGAGATCAAAGTTTCGCGGACGGCGGATGAGATTGTAGCGTTTTGGGAGTAGCCGCCCAGGAAGGAGGAGAGGGATGTGCCCGGATACCAGCCCGTCAGGTGAGATAAGTGGCGGTGGTTGGAGGGCTTATCCGAGTTATATGGTGCCGACTCGGGGAGTTTCCATTCCTTGAGGCCGCCCCATGTCGCGACGTGCACGCCCTTATCTAGCTTTGCGAGGGAGGCGGAGACGGCGTCGAGAAAGCTCTGGTCTTCGGGGGCTGGGAGGACGGATGCGCCGAGGAGGGTGTATTCAAAGACCTGGTGGATCATCTGGTGGTAGTGCGCGCAGCCAAAGGTCGTGGGACCAATCTCGGGGCTGTTGCAGGGGTTCACCACCAGCGTTCCGTCGCGAGAGAAGGCGTCGTCTTGGAGCTGGGTGAGCCAGAAGGCGGCGACGCCTTTGATGAGGGGGTAGCCTTGGGATGCGAACCAGGTTGTGTCGCGGGTGTAGTCGTAGGCGTCGAAGACGTGTTGCATCATCCAGGCTGCTGCTGCTGGGTCTTGGGAGGGTGTTAGTCGATTCGAGTCTGGTATGTGTGAGAGAAAGGGGGGGGGATAGTCAACTTACAATTTGCCCACTCGGCGCCCTCTTTCAAAGCAGTATGTCCAAACACATTCATCTCGTTATGCACAACCCACCCACTACCATTATATATCAACTCCGCCGTCTCCGTGCCGCGAGGGACCCAGGTATCCTCCATGTAATCCCACAGCGCCCCCTGCGTCTCGCTCAGCCCCGTCTGGTCCGCGTGCCAGTAGTTCATCTGTAAGTTGATGTTGGCGTGGTAATCCGCGCTCCACGCGGGCCAGAGCTGTTCGGTCCAGCGGCCCTGGAGGTTGGCGGGGAGGGAGTTTGCGCGGGAGGAGGCGATGAGGAGGTGTCGGCCGTAGTCGAAGAGGAGGGCTTCGAGGTAGGGGTCGCCGCCGTTGGTGGTGGTGGTGGAGTCGTAGTTTGCGATTAGGGTGGATGTTTCTGTTGTGGAGGAGGAGAGGGGGTCGGGGAGGGTGAGTTGGAAGGCGGATTCGAGGGTTTGGTAGTCTGCGATGTGGGAGGACAGGAGGTCGGAATAAGACTTTGAGGAGGCGATGGCGCTGATCTTTTCGACGGTTGGACCTGGGTCTTGGCCTTTGAAGGAGTAGGAGGAGGCTGGGTTGCCTTTTTTCTGGTCGTAGTTTGTTTCGGCGCTGATAACAATTGTCAAGGTAGTCTGGCCTGGGGATGGTGTGACTTTCAGAAGCCCGGAGGATGTGCAGTTCGTGACGAAAGCGGACGCGGACTCTGACTCTGAGGTGAGCTTTGCGATGGAGTCGAACTTCATGCCCTCGGGCGGGCCGAGCTGCGTTACGCCGGTGAAGCGGATGTTGTCTGAGTCGCAGGTTACGTTGTAGGTGTCAGTTTCGATGAGCTGGTTTTCGAGACCTATCGTGACGACGGGCAGGGTTGTGCCCTTGGTGACGGCAGAGGAGGAGGTGGTGGCGATGTGATAGACGCATACTTGGTCCGGGTACGAGCAGAGGTTGGTGATTTCGTAGTCTGCTGCGTTTGCGGTGAACTTTGTCGTGTGGACGCCTGTGGTAAGGTCGAGGGTACGTTTGTACGAGGTGTAGTTGGCCACGCCCTCGATTGTGACTGTTAGGTTGGCGAGGACGCGGTTACCGCCGTAGTTTGCTCCTGAGCCGAGGATGGGGGAGACATCTATTCATTGAGCGTCAGCAATGTGGTCAGACTCGTTTAGCATGAGCGCCTCCTACCCCCTGTTCCATTCTCAAAGATAAATGAGCGAATCTCGGGGAGAGCGCCATACTTTGGCTCTGTAGGGTTGCCGCCTGTGTAGTTCTGATATACAACGTTCTTAGTAGATATGTTTACTCCCTTGTGGTATGCATCCAGAGACTCACCAACGCCTCAAAGGGTCCGCCTGCCCAGAGAGAGTCAATGTCCAAGTTAACCTTTTCCGCATGAGGCGGGCCAAACGGGATCGCTGAGATTATTTCAATATCGAGACCCAGGTAACCTTGGTAGACTCTCAAGTCTAGACTCTGGAGTTGATACTCACCCCCGAGTTTGCCATTGCCAACGAGATACCCAGTCTTGAGCAAGTATGTATCTGAACTTGAATCTCCGTATGCTGCAGGGGTCGAAGACCACAGAGAACGCGCTTCACATAATGCGAAGCTGGTGCAAAGCGTCCGCGCTCGGCTCGACGTAACCTTCATCATTCAAGCAACTTAAGGTTTAGTCCAACCTAACCAAAATAGCTCTTGATGATTGAGATTGGACTTGGCCTCTTTTTAAAGGCCATTGGCCAATCAACCCCGCATTTGGATCATTGCATCCATGACACCAAATCGTTGTGAACTGCGGGGTTGGGAGCCGAGAACAGGATTTCTTGGCGCGGACTACTCCAGGAACCCAGGACCAAGATGCGAGTTGGGTCGATGAGTGCGTAGCGAAGTGCACAAGTTGCCTGAGAGCAGTAAGTGTTTCCGCAGTGTAGTATTGCTCTTAACCCCTCAGCTGTTGGATCAGGTTGGGTTCGTACCCCCGTATAGGCACCGGCAGACCTCGGGCCGGGCTGGTTCTTGAGAATGCGACGTAAACCACTAGGGATTTGGTTGACTAGAAGAGAAAGAGGTGAAGGACCATGTTCATGGTTGAAATCCAGTCAAGGCTTGATAGAGCCCAGGTAGTCAACTCAGAGTGAACCAAGCATTGGGAAGTGTGGGGAAAGGGTGGGATGGGGTTCATCAGATACTGCCCGAGACGCGCCCGGTTACGACCAGGGCAGTCCTCGTTGATCTTGGGAATATGCAGTCATACTGCATCCTATCGGAATTCGATATAGGAAAGAGATCTACTACCCGCGTGGCATGGATGATGCTACCAACGATTACTATCATCCCACCGGCGAACTGATATGCAACGTAGTCCTCTAGGGCAAATGACACTCAGGTTGGACAAGCTGTCAAGCGACTGGTCTGTACCGAACACTGCGACGTCATATTGGATGTCGAAATTCTTCCGCATAGTCACAGGATCATCATTGGAGCGTTTGGCTAGGAGCATATGATCTTCAACTTGTTTGAAATTTGTTTCTTCTCGAGTACTCTTCTAGCAAGGGGACAGCCACACGACTTGTCCCCTTCTCGTCTGGCAGCATGTACACGCCACCGGACTCATGTACTTCAATCTCGTCTCTCACACCTGACACCCACACGCAGACTCCCCCCCTCCATGGCTGCAAAGCCCATAAGTCTCTGTAAATACCCAATAGGGCGGGTTCAATGTACAGTTCCTCCAAGGAATCCCGCACGTTTGGTCCTATATGTACACACATCAAGAAAGGGCGACCTTTTCTTGAAGAAAGACAAGACATTATATGAATAGAAAAAATGGCACACACGCTCGAACAAAGTTTTAATGAAATGGAAGTGGTCGTAACAAAAAATTTGCGGTGTTAGGGCTCTTAGCCGGCAACACCAGTGGCGGGGTACCCTAGTCATCTTCGTCAGTATTTGTTTTCGTCGCAAGGCTTTTGTGAAAATAACTTACACCATGAGCATGTTGCAATAATGGCATACAGACAAATGAGCTGCAGCCCCTCGAGCCAATGACTCTTGCCATCGGCAATCAAGTAGTTGACCAAAAGAACTGCGACGAACAGCACGGCAACCTGGAAAAGGTCGAAGCTGAGCGTCATGGCGTCGTTTCCCATACCCCAGCCGATAATGATCAAGAGCGGAATCAGGAACAGCGCAACCTGCATACTCGAGCCGACGGCGACACCGATAGCGAGATCCATCTTGTCCTTGATAGCGACGGTGACAGCGGTGGCGTGCTCGGCAGCGTTACCGACAATGGGCAAGAGGATAAGACCAACAAACTCC